AAAAGTGTTTATAAATATTAAAGAGAAATTAAATTCTGGTAACATTTAATATTTGAGACCTTAGAATGCTGTGTACTTGAGAGGTGAGTAGGTGGGACATAATGTAACTGTAAAATTACAGAACTTTTTATTTATAGATCATTCATCCAGTTAACAGTGCTACTTCTACCGATTAAGTTATACGTAGGGGGAGAGTATAACTTTCATTCAACAAATATTTATAGAGCTCCAGCTATGAACAGTTACTGGTGCTAGGTGGGCAGTAATGACACGCATAGACAAAGAGTATAAGCAAACTAGTAAATAAAGATTATTTTCGATTTTGCTAAGTGCTGTGAAGGATATAAACATTGTGGAGAGAGGGGAAAAGAATGAGTAACTGGGGGAAGCTGTTAAGAGTATAATCAGGATGAATGTAGTCTCAGGGGGTGACAGTTGAGGGCGTACTTGGAAAATGAGAAGGAGCCAACCATGTGACAAGCTTTAAAGAAAAACATTTCAGGCAGATGATGTGCCAAGTGCAGAGTCTGAGGTGGAAAAGGGCTTGGCAGATTGAACCGGGAAAATGGCCAGTGTGGCTGGAGTACAGCGAGAGAGGAGGAGTGGTCTGAGGGGAAGCAGGCGGGAGCCAGCACATGCAGGGGAGTGCCAGTCCATGCAGCAGAGTGATTTTTATTCTAACGGCAGCAGGAGGCCGCGGAGGATTCTGAGCAGAGGAGTGAAGTACACCTTAGAGGAAACTAATGACTGATGTATGCCTTTGCTTAAACATATTTTATGGTAATTTTAAGTAAGCATGTATTATTTTGACATATTTTAAAATATAACAATTTAGTATTAATCATGTTTGATTTTGCTCTTCAGTGTTTTACCATAGCATATTTCATTACATGATTTTTCATTGAAATATTTTGCTTACTTTTAAAATCAGTAGTAAACTTTTTATTCCTGTGACCTGCACTGCACTTATAACCTCATTTATTAGGAAAAGAAACTGGACTGCATAAATACCTACAAATGAGCAACTTTGTGGAATTAGAGTTCAGTAGAACAAACTAAAAGTTTATTTCAGTAGTGTTTCAATGAAATTTGACTAACAGAAAAAAATCTGTCTTTTATTACAATAATTTCCTTTTAGAATCCTGATACTCATAATCATCATGCACTCATTTGTGTTCCTCAGCCAGATGTCACCGTCTTCAGGCTGCATTAGATTACAATACCTAATAAAGTTGATTTATGTATACTCTGATAGAATTTGAACTTTCACATAATGCTTGGATGATTTCAGCAGTCTATTATGGTGCCCAATACCCTTAAACCTGCCTCTTTTTTATATCCTGGCCTGTTCCCGAGATGATTCTATTTCGGGCCAACATTTTACCTATAAATTTGAGAATTCTTCATCTGGTACCCTAATTAAGGAAATATATTATACAAGTTTGACCTTTTGATTTGTCTCCTACCCTTACTGTCTTTTAGAAAGATGATTAGATGGAGTTTATGCGCTAAGGCCTTAAGTATTTGATTCAGCCTAAAGACAGATCAAATTTTCATCTAGTTTAAATATAATTCAGAGATGGAAAGAATCATTTTCATGACTTATCAGAGAAATACTTTACTATCATGGTTCTTTTTTCTTCCCCAATTTACCCTCCTTATTCACCATTACCTGATCTTTTCATGGATAGAAATTTATCTCTTATTGCCGTGGATTTCAACTTAGAAACTTCTAGACTGAGTGCTCATTTTAAAAGGGTAGGTTAGACATCTAAATTTTAGATTTGTCTGTATTGAGAACCGTAAATCATGTAGAAACTTTTAAAAAGCTATATGCATTTAGTTCAGTTTGGGTCTATAAGTGACACATGAAAATTTGAATATTAGAACACTAGGAGAGTCAAAAGAGGACAAAGGATTACAACTGTATGCAAAAATGTTAAAGAATGAGGATTTTTTTGTTTATTTCATGCACAGGAGCCAAGTGCAACTTACGTATCTTTATGATCATGAATATCTTAAATATTCTGAGAGAATTTCTTTTGTCCTTGAAGAGGTCAGAAAAATGATGATAATTTTAAAACACTGAGGATATGGTGTTACAGGGTATGCTTTTGGAGTTTAAGGAAACTTGTGGCTAGCATTTATTCACATTAAGTGGGGAACAAATCAATAATCGGACTCCATGGTCAGCTTTGTGTTAGCAATCTGTAGCCAATGGAAAATCTCAATTGGATCAGTACCCTCTTTACTGCTGTAAATCAGTCTTACTGGGTGCAGGGGCCTGGTAACTTAGGTTTTGCTTTGTCTGTAATCTGTGAGGCCATTATAGTGATGAGCTAGAATAGATCCTTCAACCATTCAGAATCATGTAGGTACAGGGGATGCACTTTATAAATTATAGTCAAGTTCAATTAAGCTTTTGCTATGGCTTTTTAATACTTTGTAAGTATCCTGGTGCTTTATAACTTCAGTTAAATATTGTGTTTAACTTATCTTCCAAAGTCTAATTTGATTTAATACAGCAATGGTGAATCTAAGAACATTCTCATTGATTAATAATTGCTTATGTTATTAATCAGTTCATAATCTTTTTTATGTATCAGGATGTGGGAATGATTGTAAGCTGTCTTAGAACCTGCCCACAACAGTGTGGTTAAGGCTTTTCTGTGTTTGTTTATTGAAGTTATGAATTTGTTTTTTTTGTGTTATTAATTCTTTGTGTTGCAGTGCTTTTTTTGAGCTGTGTAGTAGTGGAAATCCTCATCATTATTTTCTATACTTGCAGGTGTATTAAAGCTTGTCACTACTGTCTTTAATAAAGTAAAGTGGTTTTTTACTGCAGGGTGGAGTTGGGGTGTGATCATGTCTTCATATTACCCTGCTCTCACTCTTCCAACTGAGATTCTAATAAGCTATATGTACCTATTACAGGTCACACCATACTCTACTCTGTTTTTCTCTAAGAACACTGTTTGTCTTCCTGTCTCTTTACATTCTTTAGTTGTTACTTCTTTTTCTGACTTTTTGAATACAATCCATTCTTCACTAACACATTCATGCTTCCTTTGTGTCTGTACTGCCCAGTGTTATCTTTTTTAAGTGTTACTTCTGACCCCTTTTCAATTGTTGCTTATTTGATACATCTAGTGTATAGATATATTTTAAACCTTTATCATCTTAAAAATCTTATATAACTCTTGATTTGTTAGCTGAATTCTAATTACTATGAAGTCAAGGGTTTCTCATACTTCATGTATCCTTCATGTAACCCAGGCCAAGCACATAATAAGAACTCAATATGTATTATTAGTATAATAATAGGGAAGAAAGGTGGTGGGGTACTTCTGTGCATTAAGTGGTCTTGGAATCAAATATAGTATTTTTCTGATTTCCCTTGAGATTAAATTTTGACAATGTAAAATATATTCTTGAATAACTGAGGTCTGTGTTCATACTTTATTTTTGGAAGGGAGGGTCCTTTAAAGGATGCTCAGTTACCTGCAGGTTCTTTGAATAGGAGCAATTGTCCATAATATGTGACCCTATAGGATTTTAAATATTGTAATTACAACTTCTGCCAAGTTCTGAAAAATAACTTGTGTGTGAAGAGGGAGGAAAATTGTGATTTATTGAAAAATCAAACCAACACCCCAATTGTTGCTGTTGATATATAAAATATAAATAATAAGATAATATTTGTATATTTTCAATTTGAATTACATTACTCTGAGTTTAAAAAAAAACAATTGACTTCTACAGGTTCAGAGCACAATGTTAGGTGTAAATTGTAAGGCACAACTTACTACAGTTAGATCAGTGTTAAATCTCATTTCCATAATGCATTAGCTATTGATTTTGGGCATGTTACTTAACTTCTATAAGCCTTGGTTTCTTCTTATGAAATGGAAACAGTAATAACCTATCTCAAAAGATTAGAGGGAGGGCTAGAAAAGAGAGACCATTTAAGCACCAAGCAGATTACTTGGTATCTAGTGCACACATATTATCTTTTGTTACTTTTCTCCAATTCCCCCTTATTTTGGATACACATTATTTAATTGCAGTTCTTATTTAAGTTTTTTTTGCGTTTTAATGTATCATACACATTTTGATATGTGTAAGAAAGTTATTTTCCATTACGCCAATGATCCTGTGCAAAATTAGAGTTTGAAAAAAGATGATGCCAGTAATGTACTATGAATATTTTTCAAAGATTTCATGATTTGTTTCACTTCAAAATAGTAAATTTGAAAACATTTTAATATTAAGCTTAAAAATAAATTAAGGCTTGTTGCTAGTTTGAGATGTCATACTATTTTCTGAAATCAGTCAAAAGGTCTCTAGGTGAATGAGAAAATAAAATTTGCTACCTTTACAAGGGCAGTAGTTTTACAATAAAACCATTCTAACCAGGTTCTTTGGGGAATGGCGTTTTCTGGCTAAACAACCCTTTTGTTTCAGTCCTTTACATAAATGTTTACAAGTATAATGGCCCACTTTCCTGCCTCAGAGAAATGTACATATAGAATAGAGTAGCTTCTTTGTTTCTGCACTGAGGGTCTTTCATTGCTTGTTCTAAGTAACTGTGACTGTGGTGTGGCAGTGTGGATGGCCTTGTTAGAAGCAGGGCGAGGTTAGGCTAAAACTACTCCGGGGCATACTGTGAGAACTTTCCAGCCTTTTTCTGTGCCTCCCCCTTCCCCAAATACCTAATGTCAGCTTTACTTTAGTTTTTATATGCCACTTTTTTCAGACACTTTCTAACAAATTGCAGTTTTGTTTTCTTAAAACTTAAAATTTATTAAAGAGGGCTTCAGAGATTATTTAGCCAGCATCTTCATTTTATAGATTAAAAACCTGAGGTGTAGGTTAATTGATCTGTTCAGGGATACAAAACAGATTCACTAACAGAAATAAAGATGTGGATTTCCTCATTGAACTGACACTTTAATAGTGTCCCAAATTTTGGTGGTTATCTTTGGTCTTCTTTGAAACAGGTAGACCGACACTTGAGAAAGCTGGATCAGGAACTGGCTAAGTTTAAAATGGAGCTGGAAGCTGATAATGCTGGAATTACAGAAATATTAGAGAGGCGTAAGTAAAATTTACAGTTTTCCATTAATGTTGGACAGTATGTGTGCACATCCCCGAGGAGATGACCCACAGGGACTTCTCAGATCCTGCAGTTCGCTGAGTGGTGGCAGCCGGGGAAAGAGCTTGGAGCCTTGGCAGCTGGAGCTGTTCGGGTCATGGAAACAGAGAGATAAATAGGGTAGTCATCCACCCACTATGAAAATAACACATAGAGTCATTCCATTTTAAAATATGCAATGTGCTAGTAAGATGAGTGGTAAGAACAAAGATTTAAAGAAAAATAACCATCTAGAAACAAGTCAACCATCTGTCATTAAATGTATTGACTTTGCCCTGCCTCTTTATGCTTTGTATGAACAGTAAACTTTGAGAAGGGTTATTATTTCTTCTTAAGAACTGTCTTAAGGCTTTTGCTCAGCTGTGTTACTAAGAAAGATTTTAATAGGTTCCATGGTAGTGTCTCTTTTTCTCAAAAAAGTCTTTCTAAGCTTTCTTGTATCAGCAAGAAGCCATGTTAATAGTATTTCTTTGCAAGACTCAACATTATTTCTTGCTATAGTTTACCCATATCACTTCTTGGATTTAACTAAAGAGCATTCCTAAAAAATGGAGACAAGAGCTTTGTTTAATTAATTTCACACTTTTTCCAACCTAAATATGTAATGTCCATAATGCATACAGTGTGATGCTAAACCCAGAGTAGGCACTAGCTCAATATTAGTGAGCCAAGTTAGTTTTTTGGCTGATTTCTACTAGAATTTAATTAAAGGGTTCAAACATCTTTTTTCTTTTTTGGTGCATTTCAACAGTAAGAATATGTACTTACTTCTACACACAGATGGAAGGTTTCTTTACAGTGTGAGGTGAATTTATCTCTGTTTATACTCTCACAAAACGTCAATTAGAGACGCTGCCAGGCACAAATCCATCTTGGTGTTCATAGTTGCATTTTGTATTCAAAAATAGATCCATCACTTTATTTATTTTTTTAAGATTTTATTTATTTTTAGAGAGGGGGGAAGGGAGGGAGAAAGAGAGAGAGAGAGAAACATCGATCCATAGCCTCTCACAGGCCCCCAACCAGGTACCTAGCCTGCAACCCAGGCATATGCCCTGACTGGGAATCAAGCTGGCAACCTTTCAGTTTACCAGAATACACCCAACCTACTGAGCCAAACCAGTCAGGATGGATCCATCACTGTAGATGATCATCTAATATTCCAGGGGAGCCCTATCTGAACATAATATGTCTTTTGAAACAAAATAAAATATCCTATAGCTGCTTTGATTTTATCTTGAAATGCTGATAATAGCTATAACAATAATTTATGCCTATTCAGTACTGCAGGAAAATTCATGAAGCATCCTCATAAGGACACAGACATGTGAATCTAAATCAGATCCAGTATAAAAATTGTTCCCCCCATGCCCTGCCACAATTTCATCTCAAGGGATCAAAAGAAACCCAGAACATTTACTTAAAAGTATTTTAAAGCTTGGCAGTAGAGATTTTATGCTTCATTTTCCACAAGCAAAATCTCTACCTTCTTTTAGGAAATTTTTACTCTTTTAGGTTATTTTAATAATCAAAGAATTTTCTTTCATGTAGTAATGCCCCATTGCCTTATACTTGAAGATTTCCCATAGAAAAATCTTCAAGTCAGTAAAACTACGTTGAGCTTTTACCTCTTAGCAGTAATGCAGTTGTAATATCCATTCATTCCCATATGTAATATCTACTGTTGTAAATTCCCTTATTTAGACATTAGCATGACTTGAGCTGTTTTGTATTTAAGGTGAATATTGAGAAATGGACTACTTATTGTTTATAGAAACTATGGAACTGGCTCAGGGTGAAATTGGCAGTGGTAACCTAATGTGTCTGACTAAAATGAGGCATATGCCTCAGAGTTTGCTACTCCTCTTTTGAGTGAAGGGTGCACAGTACCTGTATTTGATTGACATGTAAAGTTCTGTGGTGACAGTTAATAGCAGTGAATTTTTGTGCTCCCCCCTTTTTTTTAGGATCTTTGGAATTAGATACTCCTTCACAGCCAGTGAACAATCACCATGCTCATTCACATACTCCAGTAGAAAGTAAGTTTGGTTTAGTACAAATAAATTTTTAAATACAATAAAAAACTCATTACCTGTATATTCTCTTTTATTAGGTCTACACAACTGATTGAGAAATAAGTATCTTTCTCTTCCTTTATTTTGTTAGATATGTATTTATCATTGTGATTCCTGGCAGACTTCCTTCTTCACTTGGGAAAAGCATATTTGATTTAGGAACAGGGAATTTGTTTTACTCTGGAATCCATATACGGGAAGATGTCTGGCACTAATAGTATATGCTTCTGACATACAAACACCTGGTTCTCCCTAGGAAGTGTTAGAACTGAGCCAGGCAGTGAGCTGCCTGATGGCAGGCGCTGTGTTTTTCATTCTTGCTTCTCCAGCGCCTAGCCTACTGTTTGGCATATAATAAAGTTTCATTTAGTGACTAAATGAATGGTTAGCCAGTTGGCTTGATGACTTGATCTGTGCATTTTTTTTGACAGATCAATTTGACATGAAAGAAGCACTGATTAAAAACTTACCTCAATTGTAAATAAGGTTTTCAAAACAGATTTTCCCTCATGCTGCATATGAAACCATTGTGCATCATGGGTTATCTTCAATACTTTGCTTCTGAAGTGTTTTTTTTTTTAAAATGTTTGAGCATTCTGCTCTTGATAAAACTTGTGACACAGAGAGTTGTTCGTCCTGTCTTCTAAGAAAACATAGTGTTCTGTATTTCCTGAGGAACTCAGAACATAAATGTACCAGTTTATAACTAGATGGAAGTATTATGCCTTGCCCACTGTTCTCTCAAGTTTAAAAACACATGGATTCTTTCTTTATGTGCAGAAAGGAAGTATAATCCAACTTCTCACCATGCAACAACAGACCATATTCCTGAAAAAAAGTTTAAATCTGAAGCTCTTCTATCTACCCTAACGTCAGATGCCTCTAAGGAAAATACACTAGGTAAATTTATTTCTTAGTGTGATTGGTTGCTTTAGTGTATTCATGTTAAAATAAGGGAAATTGAAAACATTCAAGATTAATGAATCATATAGTGTCTTTGCCTGGCCAAAGTCTACATATGGGGAAAGAAGGAAAAGGAAAAACATGACGTGAAAATTTTAAATTAATGATTATATCTGTGATGCAAAATAATGTTATTTTAAATGCACTAACTTTATGTTCTCTCTGACCATTTTTATTTCCTCTTTAATTCTACGCAGGTTGTCGAAACAATAATTCTACAGCCTCTTCCAACAATGCTTACAATGTGAATTCCTCCCAACCTCTGGCCTCCTACAACATCGGCTCATTCTCATCAGGAACTGGGGCTGGGGCGATTACCATGGCGGCAGCGCAAGCAGTCCAAGCAACAGCTCAGGTAAAAGGCAGAGGTTGTGCCCTAACTATTGACAAACTCTAGTAGAAACAACTAGATGTGAACAAAAAGTGTTTTCTTAATTGTTTCATTTTCAAATCATAGTTTTGTGATATCATACATTTTATTTAATGAAATGAATATGTGGAAATTACTTGACTGACAGTGAAAAGTAAAAATACAGACTCATACAATGATGTTCAGATTCCTTCTCACGATAGCTGCTCATGGTGTCCATGTTCCTGACTGTAATCCACAGCACCTCTGGACGACCCTTTGTTGTCTTTATGTTCCAGGGCTTTCTCTGCAGCCTCAGAACTTAGGTTGCCCTGAATTGGTACACTTCTACAGTTTGTGTCTATTCCGCATTAAGTTACTAATCCTGTAACTACTTCATAACTGGAAAAACTGGTTTTAATTCTTTACATAAAATAGCTTAAATATCAACTATGAAAATAATGGTTTAAACAAAATAAGGTAGTATTGGTTAAACCAAAATAATACTGTAACTAGTAACACTTGAAAAAGACAATCTACGTATTTATGTATATTAATACTATCAATGAATGTCTATTCAAGATGAAAGAAGGACGAAGAACGTCAAGTTTAAAAGCCAGTTATGAAGCATTTAAAAATAATGACTTTCAGCTGGGAAAAGAATTTTCAATGCCCAGGGAAACAGCTGGCTATTCATCTTCTTCGGCACTCATGACTACATTAACACAGAATGCTGGTTCATCAGCAGCGGACTCACGAAGCGGGAGAAAGAGCAAGTAAGTCTTACAGGAGGAGCCCTGTGTCTTTACCAGGTGTGCACACTGGGCTTGGCACCCCCCTGGGCTTTCCTGCTTTAGTAACACAGGTAGCCTGTGAGGGATCCGAGTGCACTTTGGAGAGGTGGAGGACAAAATGCTGTACTCACACTGCCATACTTTGAAGGGGTAAAGTCTGTAAAAAGTGTTAGGAGTTTTTAATTTTTTTAGAGTCTTAAATTGGATTTATTAGCAAATGTTTATGTTCTTTTGTTCATTAGGATAAACCATTTTATGAGACCTCTTTATTTGTAAACCCTTATTTTGTCATGTGTTTTAGGTAAATTAATATATAAAATACAAATTACATCCTGGAAATTTTTTGTTTTTAAATGAGATTCTCTATTTTGATTAAAAACAAGGTATCTTAATTCGTGGGCTTATTGTCCCTAAACTTGAAATTATGAAAGTATCTTTGCATATAACACTCCTAGGAGGATAAGTGCCTGCATGTGCCCGTTGTCCATACATAATGAAAATTCAAATGCTGGTCCAAGAGAATTAGTTACCTAATAATTGTATTATAATATTTTTACTGTATTCTATTTTTGTGAGTAAATCCCTAAAAGAATGATCAATGTAGAATTACCACAAAAGAGCTAAGTAATTTAAAAATTAATTCATCTTAATGATTCAAATTTATTGTAACTATTGGTAATAATTTTTGTATTTTTAATATTTAATTAGCATATAGGTAGTGATCAATTGTTTCAGAGTTTTAAAACTCTTGGTTTCCTGTTCTACACAGGTAAGTATTCATACATTGCTTGATGGTCATGATTATTTTTCACCAAATGCTTTTGTGTACATATACAAAGAATACAAAGAATTCTTTGTATACGCACAAAGAAAATACAAAATACAAAGAATTACCTATAAGGTAACCATAACTAATATAATTCTTAAAGGTATTACCTACAATTTATGTCAGTAGTAAATAGTAACTAATTTAAAAAATTATTTGAAAAAATATGAAATACTTTGAAAATATTTCTTTTTAAATACCTTTATTCTCCAGATAACAAAAATAAATCATTATAAAAAATGTTGCTTTGTTGTTCTAAATGATGATAATTTTAAATCTCTTTATCAAATGACTTTAACTTAGTCGTAAACATTAATTTATACAGTTGGTTTCATTTCATACCACTTTTATTTAGGAGTTATTCTCAGGTAACTTCTGGATGCTGAGCAAATAAAACTGATACTGTTGTTTTTTTTGTTGTTGTTATTTATTTATTTATTTTCAGAAACAACAAGTCTTCAAGCCAGCAGTCATCATCCTCGTCCTCTTCCTCTTCCTTGTCATCATGTTCTTCATCATCAACCGTTGTGCAAGAAATTGCTCAACAAACCACGGTAGTACCAGAATCTGATTCAAACAGTCAGGTTGATTGGACTTATGACCCAAATGAACCACGATACTGCATTTGTAATCAGGTAAAAATCTGGCATATGTCTATAAAAGCATAATCTGAATAAACTAGGAAAAAGAACAATTTTATTTTGTTCAAGTGATATTTTTACTCTAGTTAAAATACCCTTTCTCTTTTTTTGTGTAATTTTCTCCTGTTTCTTATAAAAATGTTTGTTGTAAATACAAAGAGTATAGAGCAATATGTAAGTCAACCATAATCTCAGGCCTCAGATATGATGTGTAACTAAACATTTGTTTGTATCACTACTGCATACCCCAAGTGCATATTATTGTAGTCTGCTCATGTTGCCATAATACCATACCACAGACTGGGTGGTTTAAAGAACAGAAATTTATTTTCTCACAGTTCTGCAGGCTGGGTAGTCCAAGACCAAGGTGCTGACTGATCCCATTCCTGGGTTAAGAAAGAAAGAAAAACCAGTAAATGCCTTGGCAATAAAAGTAGGTTACTTACAAAAGAACAAAATCAGATTCACCCATGATTTCTCTCCGTAACACTAAAATCTAGAATTTGTTGAAATATGTATGTAGAACTTTGAGGGAGAAATCTGAGTGCCCTCCAAAAAACTGTTACCTAGAGAAATTATTTGTTCATGTGCATAGAATAGAAAGTATGCCATCTATTTAATCCTTTCTGGAAAATTATTCAGTCCATTGAGAACTTCAGTGAATTCAGGAATTAGAAAGTTGTACTGTAAAGTGCTAGTAATGAATAGCAAAAAGGTAATGAGGAAGGATATATGTATATCAGGTAATATATGTATAAGGTAATACATTTAAAAATTTAATGGAGTATTGAGTGCTAAAATATAAATGGCCTAACATGACACAAGAAAAAATAAAAGACCTAAGTAGGTAAGTAACCAAAGAAGAAACTTGAAATCTTTACATAAGGAACGACCCACAAAGGTGATTTTCAGAGCAAGTTCTTTCAGACTTTGAAAGGGGGTATAATTTCTGTGTATCTCGCCCTGTGACCCTTTAAAGAAAAAATATATAAACTGTATAAATCTCTGTGTACCCTGTTTCTTAATACAATTATATATTTGGTATATTTCTGTATTTTTTAACACTATTATAAACAATTAGTTTGGATTTAGGTGCTTGTTATATAGTCATAATAAGAATATTTAAATTTTTTTAACTAGGTATCCTATGGTGAGATGGTGGGCTGTGATAACCAAGATGTAAGTATTAGATTTTTCTCTTTAGGAATGAAAAATATCACATATTATTAACTTGAATATTTTTATTTACTGTGTCTCTCAGTCTAAGAAAACAGTTATGCAGAAGAATTTTCCTCTCAAAATAGAATAGTGTCCCTTAATGTGTTCCCTATTTTAACTTTTAAAACTAATTGTAGGATTTTATGCAGATTATATTTCTCAAAAAGGCATTATGTTGTATGAAAATTAAAACACCCCCTCCCCCTTTGCTAAAGAATATTGTGTTTACTAGAATCTAGTTCACTTATCACAGTGAAGAACTGGACTTCGAAACAATCCATTCTTTCAGGAAGTATGATGCTCAGGTGAAGTGTGGGAATGGTGAGGATCTAACGTGAGGTTGTTTTCCTCCCATTAGTGTAGCATTTCCTATTGTAGTCTGCAGGTGTCAGCTGAGAAAAGCCACCTCTGATATTAAAAAAAAAGATAATTGACATTGCTCTTTCTTTTGGAAGCTTAATTTTTGTTAGATATATGCTTTTATTGAATGCTGAGAATGTGTGATTTAGGAATTTTTACTCCTTCCTTATTTTCACATAGTTCTTTTGTCCATCTTTTACTCCAGAAGAGGTAAAGAAATCCTACTCAGTAAGGTCAGGGTCTTAATGTTAATACTAAGAGATTTAAATTTTTAAACAATGTGAAGATTGAGCAGGATTAGCTTGGTACATTAAAATTTGGGCTTCTTCTGACCAGACAGGATCCCAACAGCATGTTCACATGGAGAGAGAAATATCCTCTATCCACTTCCATTTTTAGAATTGCTTGTGGGCTGTTTGTGATTATTGCAAAAACAGTGTTGCCCACACATTTCAAGAACAGCATTAGAAACTGTCTTCTGGGCAGTTAGTGAAAATGACAAATGAGATTTTTGTGAATACCCCATCATACTCTGATCTCTCTCATTCCCACTTATACCCTTCTGAATGCTAAGATTTTCTGTGGAAGTGTAGCACTGCCTAATGTATTGCAGAGTATAGTGCTTTTCTTCTACATGTCTCTCAATGGATACAGAAGGAAACCCAGGGCATTCCTTTATGTCTTCTATTACAAGTATCTTATTCCACTCTGTGTGGGGAAGACTAAAGCTGAATATTCAATAAGATCTTTAAAATACATTTCCTTTCTGCATAAGAGACCCATCTCACTTCTTCTTGTCTTTGAAAGTTGGTATCACCCTGGCTGGTGTGACACAGTAGATTGAGTGCCGGCCTGCAAATTAAAAAGGCACCTGTTTGATTCCCAAGCAGGGCACTGCCTGGGTTGTGGGCCAGGTCCCCAGTAGGGGGTGCAGGAGAGGCAGCTGATCTGTGTTTATCTCCCTCTCTTTCTCCTTCCCTTCTCCTCTCTTTAAAAATAAACACATAAAATCTTTTTTTAAAAAAGTTGATGTCAACTTACTCTCCAAATAATTTTAGTGAAAGTAAAATTACTCTCAAGGTAATTTTAGAAGTAAAATTAGCGAATTTTAGGTCATTTTTTAGGATTACATGAATCTCAGAGTTAACAAAGATACGTAATTTTTCTGTGCCTCCATTTCCTTTTCTCTGAAGCTTATTAGTTGAACCATGTGATTTGTGTATCATCTCCTAGATCTAAACATTTTTTCCCATTAATCTAATACTCATTCTACTGGGCATATGTTAATATACTCCCTAATCTTTAGAGGTACTAAAAATGATTGCTTTGCAATTTTACTTTCCAGTGCCCTATAGAATGGTTCCACTATGGGTGTGTTGGACTGACAGAAGCACCGAAAGGAAAATGGTACTGTCCACAGTGTACCGCTGCAATGAAGAGAAGGGGCAGCCGGCACAAATAGAGGTGCTCGCCTCATGTGAGAAAGGAAAAACTTCAACTAAACATTTTATATAGGACTTTAAAGAAGAAAAGAGAAAAAAGAAACAATGCATTTCTAGGCAACCACTTAAAGGATTTACATAGACAATCCTGTAAGATCTTGAATTTGAATTTTATGGGTTGTATTTTAATAATGTAAGTAAATTATTTATGCACTCCTGGTGTGCTATGAATATTATTCCAGTTAGCCTTGGATTATTTCAGTGGCCAACATATGCAGATATTTGTATTCCTCAGCCATTTTCTCAAAGTAATGGGCATTCTATAATTTAGACTTCAAAGAATTCCAACGATGAAGATTTTAAGAAAAGTATTTTATATTTAACAGGTATGTTCTGCTGCATGTACTGTACTCCAGAGCTGTTATGTAACACTGTATATAAATGGTTGCAAAAAAAAAGTTAGTGCTTCTAAGAAGAATTTAAGATAATGGTTTTTTAAATGCCTTTATAATAAGCTTTGTTTCTTTGTGAAACTACATTCAGCAGGCTGAAGGAGATGGTTCGTGTGATAAAGTGAGCTGGTGTCCTCTAGAGTACGTGGGCACTTAAACAGAAACTCCCATAGGTGAAAACTCTTCTGTGCCATTAGTCTTTATATGTTTCTGCATCCAGACAGAGTGCAGTTCATGGGGGTGGGGCGGGAGGGGCTGAAGGGGAGAGGGTGTTAAAGTGATACATTTTTATACCAAATGTGTTTATTTTTTTGTGCAAGTAATACTTAAAATTGGAATTGTATTAGGTGTTAAAATAAAGTTTTTAAAAAATTACTTGTATTTATAATTTACACACTTAATATTGAAAATTTCTTAATTCCAGTTAGGTTCCAATTTTCATAATGTAAAAAGGGACAGAGACCCAGGACACAGAAAGCTGTATAATCTGTGATTTCTTTAATAATGCTTGAATTTTGTGATGTGAAAATAAGGGGAAGACATTTTTAAAGTAAATTTGAAATGCAAATGTATTTTTTTAGAGCATTCCCGGGGTTTTTCTTCTGTTGGAAGGACATGAAAGAAGTCTTAATTACAACAGATAAAATGAAAAGAATGGTTATAGATGTTTTGACTTGTGGCAGTGTGGCCAGTTTAAATAAAGAGACCCCTTGGATTGGAGCTTAAAATTCAGTTCTACTTTTTCTTTTACCATATATTGGTATGACAGTTAATTCAAATTTTGAATCACTCTGGGCCTTATTAAACCAGGGCGATGCTAGCTGTAGGAAGTCTCTGAAGCTCTTCTGAGGTTTTATTCTACAGGTGCTATTTAAATTATAAATTTTGCATACTGTCAAGTCTGGTTGGTAGAAAAATTCTTAAAGCTTTAAAAATACTTAAATTATTATTATTATTATTATTATTATTATTATTATTATTATTATTATTATTATTATTTTGTATCCAAACTTACTGGGTCCATCAGATTTTTGCTTTAATGAAAACCACTTATGAGCCTCTTAGAACTTACTCAGAAAACTGTGAAGTCTATGCAATGCTACCCAAGGGTTATGGGTTAGGGAATTTCAAAGGTCTCTTCCAGCTTCCCCATTCTGCAGTTCTGAGATGCTGCAGTCTGATTTTATAACTGGATAACCCATAAAGCTTCATTAGGTGCATTTGTGGGTACTCATGATTTCATAGTATCATGATTTTGTGGTATTCAATATTTTTATGGAGATTTTATAAACCTTTAAGAAATAATATATAATGTAGTATTCAGCTTATCAGCATGTTAGCTGGAGATGCTTAGTGGTGTTGTTTAATGTTCTAATGATATAGAATGATTTTTCCAAACTTATTTGTTGTTATAGGAATTAGTCAAAGGAAAAAGCTTTATATACAGCCTTATTTTAAGAGAAAATTCTTTGTCAGAGTCAGACACATCCCTATTTTCCGCTGCTCCAGTATATGAATTCCACTACTTACCAAATCATTCAGAAACAGTTTCACAAATCTTAAACTCAAACACTGAATATTTTATGAAGCATGTATAAAGAAGTAAACCCATACTTTGGGCAATTATTTAATAATAGGTAGAGCCTGTTACTATCTCATATAGCCAGACATGGAACTACCTCATCAAAGAAAAAAAAGCGGCCAGCTATTAACATTCCCTGTGACATACCAAGGGGTATAATGAGCATTTTTGGTATGATAAAAGACACATTCCAAATCTTTGTTGTACAAAACTCTTGTAACAATTGGTGGCACAAAAAAAATACGCATGTGGGCTCACAGTTTTTAGGCAGTGGAAATTGAGGTCTTGCTGCTGTGAAGTGCATATTAAAATGTTCACAGTGATACACTGGAAGCAATAAATGGCTTAATTAAATGCCTAAGTGAAGCTGAGTGTTTGATGAACATACAATTATTCTTGTTAAGGGCAGTTAGTTTTTTACTCTCCTTTAAAGCAAATTCAACATCTTTTAGATTTTTAATAATCTTAGGCTTGTGCAACATTAGTGCCCTTGTTCCTTAGACCTCTTAATTGGTCGTCTTGATCTAATTAATTAACTATTTCAGTATTAGAAAAAATAAATGTCTAATATACTTTGGCTTGGAAGGGATAAGATACTCTTTGAATGTGTAGATATTGTAGAATGTAGATATTGAACTCATGTTTAAAATGAAATCATTCAACAGATGGGCTTTAAAAGAAAAAGTATCCTCAAAAATGTTAATAATTTTACAAACGTTAAGCACGTAAGTGTTGAGAATACAGAAATGAAGGGGGTGTGTGTGTTCCTGTGGGAAGGACAGACATGTTAACAAACAATTGCAGTGTTTGATACATGCTATAATATATGGGAATACAAAGCTCTCCGGGAACACTGGGAGACTTGACAAAGGTTTCATTTCAACTGATGCCTAAAGACAGATAAGTAGGGAAGGTTTGCAAGGCAGAAGAGATTGTTTAAGGCTCACATACACTTGGGGAATGTAAAAGCAGCCAGGAATGAGTGGGTTCACATCTCTATACGTGGGGCACAGAGATGTGTCTGTGAACGAAGCCAGACGTGGAGCAAGAGTCTGTTCACACACACATTACGCTGTGCCGTGGAATCGCTAATGTAAATAGTGGTGACCTCTACACATTGTCAGTTAAATACATTAGTATTGTTATTTTAACAGTTGAATCAAATCATAGCACTTTTATTAAGATTACAAATAGGATGATAAAGTTAATTAGTCCGTAACTTGGAAATCGTTTTTAAAAATTTGAAATTTAAGGTGAATCTTTTCTCACAATTTTTTAAATGCTACAAATTAGAATTGCTAGTCCAGATTTTTAGATTTTCTTATTTAGATGATAAAATCTGAATTACTCAGACTGCAATTTCTGACCCAGGATTTTAATATTCATGATTTGGTTCGGCTACAGAGAAAAGTAAGTTAAAGTTTAAAGTAATGAACTGACTTCAGGACTTTTGTTATTTTAATCGAAGTTTGACAGAGGAGAGAAGTATACCCCCTCTGGCCATTTTCATTTTAAGGTAGTAAGTCATGTATACTTGCTGAGTCAATATCTTAACTAATAAAGGGACTTTGACATTTTTAAATGTTTACTTGAAAGAAATTGAATTTCTTAATAAATTCTTCAGAGCCATATGATTCAGTTTTTAATTAATTCAGAGCCACTTTTTAGTTTCTTTACTGATGGTAATAGAGACAGTATAATCATTCATTTTTCTGCTGCTTATTAGCAGTTCAGAAGCTGATGTGGGACGTGGAGATAAGGAATGTGTATGCTTGTGTGCACGTTGCTTATTCTCATTCCCCATTTCCAGTGGTCTATGTTAATGAATAAGAATAGTTTTCCTTAGGAAAGTGTACAGTTGCTAGTCTCTAATAATGAACTAATTAAAAACTTTAACAAGTTTAACATGTAGGGAAAAGCAATGGTCACATTTTAATTCTTTTTTCATTGTTGAATCTACCCCAGTAGAGATACCCTCCATGTTGAAAATAAAAACAATTGTAATAGGTACTAAGCTTTGTAGATCATATGGAATACAAGGAGGCAGCTGGAAATATTTCTAAATAACTCTGAACATAAATGCGAGTTGCTTCATTAGAATGACTTTACTAATAACTAGTTAGAAGAAAATTTTAGTATGACTTCCCCAGTGTGTCTCATTAGAATTCATCAAAATTATTGTTTGTATCCTTGAAGCATTTATGTATTTATCTTTAATATGACAAATGACTGTTTTCTTGATTGGGTTTCACAAGGGTGCCAAAAGATGTTTTTGCTTTACCAATGTTTGTCATTTATAAATGTTTAAAAAAGTCCAGTTATCTTGTTGAAAGCAAAAAATGAAGCTTATGTATCAGAGATCACATGGTTTAGATACAGAAGCAGTATTTTGACTCTATGTGGTATACATGTCACCAAAGAACCATGCTTTGACAAAGAGTATTTCCTTGTTGGCCAGATTAGCTAAATGAGTGTCAGCCTTCATTAGAGTGATAAGACCAAACCTCCCCACCTTTCATCCCCCATCACACACATTAATTTTTTTAGGAAACAAATCTGAAGCTTTAACAATTTCAAAATAACTTTTTCTGAAAATAAAAATGGCTGACTGAATTTTGCTTGCATTTAAAAAGAAAGAAACAAGTTAAATTATGTGGCTTTCCTGAGATGATTTTTACCTGGCCAGGTAGCTCATTTGGTTTGAGTGTCCTCTTGACACACTAAGGTTGTGGGTTTGATCTCCAGTCAGGGCACATACAAGAAGCAACCAATGAATTCATCAGTAAGTGTAGCAAATAGATGTTTCTCTTCTCTCTCTTCTCCCCTTCCTCTTTCTCAAATCAATAAACTTTATAAAAAATGTATTATTGTTCCTGGAATATTACAGGTCTACAGAGAAGACAAATGAAATTTCTAATTGAGTAAAAAGAACATAATTTGATACTGTGGTATGACAAAAGAAAGCTAAATTTGTTCATTTATATATTGATTAATAAAAACTTAGAAATTCTGGCTTTATGCCAAGATAAAACTGTCCTAAAGAAAGTAAAACATAATTCACTGGGTTAAACGTTTGTCATTCAACCTGTGTGCTCACTGCTTAAAAAAAGTAGTTTATCATCTATTTGTTTATCTTTTAGAATGTATGTGTAAATATATATGTGTGTGTTATGTATATGAGT